ATAAGAAGGAAGGGTTGTCAATAATTTCTGGCATATCATTTATATATAAAGAAAACATGAGAACTGCAAAAATTGATCCCTAGGGACCACCCCTCGTTTTAATGGGTGAATGAGACAATGTATTACGAAAAACAACTATTTGTTTTCTGTTTGTGAGATAAGATGCAAAAAATTGAAGATACTCATGGTGGAAACCTATTTTGGCACGCTTGTATAAAATGTTGTTATTGCTAATAGAGTCGAAAGTTTTGACAATATCTAAAACTAGCGTGAGAGTTAATTCTCCTTGTTCTAATTTCTTGTATAGAATATCACAGTACAATATAAGGTTTGTCACAGTCGAACGATGTTTTCTAAATCCATGTTGGTTTAAACACAATTTTTTTTAATGAAGCCTTGTATCTTTTTGTATAAAACTCGTTCAAATATTAATGCGAGTGCAGAAGTATTGAAATGGGCCTAAAATTTTCAATTTTCATACGAGAATCATCTTGTGCAAAGGTTATTGTGTGGTGTTTTCCAGATATCTGGAAACGGTTCATTACTGACTATGCTATTGAACAACTCATTGGGAACGAAATTTATTTTACCGTAAGCAGCTTTGATTCAAATATGTGATTGAGATTAAACTTTGTCGGTGGCTCATATTTTGAGCATGTGTGCGTTTTAAATTCATATTATTTTCAAAATTTGAGCCTATGTAATTTGTAAACAATCTCCAATGTTTATGATTTTTTTAAGCTTTTTTTGGTTTATGATTTTATTTCAGAATGTTCTTTTTGGCATTGAAGGTTTGAAAGCATCATATTTCGGCTTATTCATTTCATATTTTTCAAAAAATTAAAACTTCTAGTTTCGAATTTTTAATAGATCAACTTCATTGTGAGAAAGACTTTTTTTCGAAAATTCAATTTTCATTTTTTTTTTTCGAAATTTTTCGACATGAAGCTTTTGTCAATTTTTTCTGTCAGCAAGCTTGCCATGCATTTATTGTGATGTTTTACCAGTGGCCTTTAGCTTCTGTGTTTAAAATCTGTTCAATTGTGATTCGATCAATTCATACAAAAATTATGTCTTTTCAATTCATACAAGTGTTCTGTGTTGATTAAAACCTGTTGAAAAATTTGCTTTCAGTCCTGTTTACAGAAAGTAAAACCAATGAATACGGCAAATTAAGTTTTTTGATTGTAGACTAATTTTCAATATCAGTGTAATCGTATTAGGCCACGCAAATGTAGTGATCTTACTTCTCCCCCTCAATTCAGGGTGCCAAATTTTTCCAAATTTACGAAAAACAACTATTTGTTTTCTGTTTGTGAGATAAGATGCAAAAAATTGAAGATACTCATGGTGGAAGCCTATTTTGGCAAGCTTGTATAAAATGTTGTTATTGCTAATAGAGTCGAAAGTTTTGGCAATATCTAAAACTAGCGTGAGAGTTAATTCTCCTTGTTCTAATTTCTTTTATAGAATATCACAGTACAATATAAGGTTTGTCACAGTCGAACGATGTTTTCTAAATCCATGTTGGTTTAAACACAACTTTTTTTTAATGAAGCCTTGTATCTTGTTGTATAAAACTCGTTCAAATATTAATGCGAGTGCAGAAGTATTGAAATGGGCCTAAAATTTTCAATTTTCATACGAGAATCATTTTGTGCAAAGGTTATTGTGTGGTGTTTTCCAGATATCTGGAAACGGTTCATTACTGACTATGCTATTCAAAAACTCAACAAAATCATTCAAATAGAACTGTAAAACGAAAATTAATATGTTACGAGATAAATCACCAACTGAATTTGTTCCTGACTTGCATTTACACAAATCGTAAAGAATTTTGCATTGCGAAACGAAATATCTGATAAGTCTATTCCTGGAAAAATACTTTAGTTTGGAACATTCAATGATTCGTTGTCTATTTTGTACACAGATGCAAAAAACCTGTTAAAAACCTCACAGATCACAAAATCAGAGCATAAACTGGTAGTTCTGTATGACATTTTCCTGGGCACTTTTGTCTTTCCATTTATCGATCTAAAAAGTTTGTAAGCCATTTTTAAATCGAAGTCTTTCATTGACTCAAAGTAAACAGCTTTGTCTAGTTCTAAAGAATCGTTCAAATCTTGCTTGCAGCGTTTAATTTTCTCGTCAGAATAATCATGTTTCAATGCCGTCTGAAGGAATTTTACAGCATTTACTGAGTGTGAAGACATCCAATGGTGGGCTTTAGAGCGACGAATTGTCTTTTTTGGAATAAATTTATCTACGGCTTGATAACACAACCCATAGAAGGTTTCAAGCAATCTGTTTGCATCATTCGAGCATTGAAGTCTGTTGTTTAAGAAAAACAAACGCAATGATTCGGAGTCTGCTTCGCGGATACAGTAACAGCTTAGATTTAGCTGTTCCTTTTCATTTTCGAATGCTATTTGACAGGAAAGTGCAGGATGATCTGAGAAGCTTTGGTTTTTTTGGAAATTAGTACAAAAAAATAGATGTTAATAATACATCTCGCTGTAAAAACTCATTATCTGTCAGTAAACCGAGGTTGAACTTCTTAAGTGAGATAAAAAAAACTGGATTCACGTTGGTCATCACTTGATAAAATATTCCAATCAACTGAATTTAAGTTCAGATTGCCGCATAAAATCCATTGCATTGCGTTCAATTTAGATTCTACCATACGAACGTTGAGTTGTTTGTTCACTTCACTCAAAAAATTTTCAAAATAATTCCGTTTAGAGAATAAGAACTGTCATGCGGTGGATTGTAATTGGCTGTTATGCAAAGCATTAGGTTGTTCAGCTTCACAAGTATGAACAAAAGGCAAAAATAACTGATTGATCATCGATGACATTACATCTGTGCAGAAAACTGCAGTATTTTCAACATTTTTATCCAACCATGTTTCACTTAAGGCAACAATGTCAAGTTGAGGTTGATGGATTCGCAAAAAATTGTCCAGCTTGATTTTCCGTTTCATTGTTAAAATTGATCGGCAATTAAGGGACAAAAACAAAATGTCATTTAGTAGTCAAGAGGAAGAGTTCCCTTTACCAATCGATCAGTCTTTGTTGTACTCAATTGTGTAAGTGCCAAAAACAAGGCTTCCAGCCTTCATTTTAAATTTTGATTTTTCGTTTTGCATCAAAGAGCTCAAATCGTATCGGTTTTTTAGAACTCTACTTTCATTCTGATAGTCTGGATAACTCATAAATTCCTTGATATACATATTCGAATTCTTTAGCTTTCTCAATGACAGAAAAATGAATTTATGATAGCAAGGAGATGGAATGTAAGAAACAAGAGATCTTGATTTGTATGGTTGTTTTTTACCAGGTCGAAAACAGTCGCTCACAGTAATTTTTTTAAATTCCATCTTGTCTCTGAACATTTACAGCAAACTATTTCTGTCCCTTTCAATTTGTACAACTTTGTCGTCTTGTATGTTTTCTGCTAATCCATATATCACTAGTTTCTTTCCAATAAGCCTAGAGTCTGTCTTAGCTTGGTTTGGGTTGGGAGCATTATGATTTGTTGTTGATAATTTGCTCCGTTTTGTTATGTTTTCGCTCAAAACGCTAATATCTATCTCAATTGATGAAAAAACGTTACCCGGTCTAATGGACTGCTTCAAAGAAGCAAGCTTTTTGTCTCTAAAATTTCTTTCGGAATTGTCAATATTTGGTCGCTATTCTGTTGTATTGAAAATTTAACATCAACTAAATCGTTTTGGATCGCCAAGTTTGCGTTTTGGGTTTCGTTTGTGATTTTCTCTAAAGATTGTTTCAATTTATCATTTTTTTGTTTTTAAGTCTGAACTCTCCTTGCATTTCCAGAATAAACCTTTTACTTTGCCTAATTTTTAGAGAACTTTCTTAGGCAATTTGTTACAGTCATCATGAAACCAGGTTTTGCAAATGTCACTTGAATGACAATTAAATTTGCATTCATTTCCGCAAATTTTATATAGATATTCAGGATTTTCAAGTAATAAAACACTTATATTCTGTTTATTAGACGTTTTTTGTTTCAGTTTTTGGCATTTTCCCTAAAACTTGGAGGAATAAGTGGATTGATCTCACCAGCTGAACAATCAGCTCCAAAGCTCAATTGAATCTGAATGCCTGCAATCCAGCCCAAGTGTCCAATTATAGGGATCAGTTGGAGTGTTCTTCAAAAATCCACTACTGGGTAAAGTTCTTTGATTTTCTGAAAGCGCCTTCGGTGCTAACATGAACAATTTTAAGGAGAAGCGCGCGTCGAAGAAAAAACACTTTTTTTGTTCAAAATGTTCCAAAAATGCCTAAAATTTCCTTTTATGATAGTATTTTTGGCAATTCATTTCAACAAGCATTCGTTTCTGTTTTTTCCAAATATTCATAATTGGAAACCTAAATACCAACTGGCTTGTTCGGAGTAGTTTTTACACCATGACAACACCAAACCACAAAAAAGATTTCTCACAATAAAGAGTTCTTTTAGATTCAAGTTTTGAGGCAGGAGAACAAATTCTGCTGGGTGATTCAGGAGAAATAGCTGGCAGTGGTGAGTTATTTTTGTCAGAGAAATGATAGATAAACCCTTTTGCTTAAAACGATGGTATTCTGTTCCGTTCTAGATAGGGCTTGAATCAGTTTCCCTGGGGCAGAATACTAATCATGTTTGTGTGAGTTAATAGAAAGGGTATGAACCCATTTGCCCGTAGTACCATTAGGATCTCCAGGCAAAATAAACAGCGGCAAAAAAATCTCGTTTTCTTGTGCTCATTAAAAACATACATATATTAAGCTGTATATTGATATATTTTTAACATATTGAACAAAAATTACAATTTTTCTTGTCCCTTCGTCAGTTTAAATAAAGCTATCAAGGAAAAGAATTAAAAAACAATTGTTAGGCAAGTTATTTAAGCATACGTGAAGTTTTGGAGCTCTGCGGTTTCCCTTAATACAAAACAATGTCTTTCTGGGTGCTGATTTTCTTAGGGCGTGTTTTGCTGGGCTTTCTGATAGTCGATTGCATAGTTGACCTAGTTGATCTGCCTTTAAGAACTAAAACAGAACAACGAGTTTCTTAAGATTGAATTGCATTATACTATCTTTTAGCGCTTTTTTGGAATGGCTTTACAAAAAAATGGCTTTACAAAAAAATGGCTTAACAAAAAATGGCTTTACGCGTGTAAAAACAAAACAACAAAAATAACGTTTTTGCGCTTTTTTTCGAAGAGTTTTGACAAAAAAATGGTTTTACTCCCCCCTAAATCCGCGTCTGTAGTCAAAAGAAGGAGGTAACGATGTTGCTTTTTCGACAATCATTTTCGGTCGAACACCCCGCCCCAACAGCGGTTTGAGCCCCTACTACACAAAGTAGTGGGTAATTCGGTACTATTTTACGACATCCATTTTGCTCTGCCAACTCGCCTTTGGTGCTGCCAACCAAACAATATAATTTTGAGTGGGAGCCGAGCCAGAAAAAGAATGCGCAAGCGCAAGCCAAAAAAATACCAAAAATAGCTCAAATTTGTTTTTCTTTTAAAGTTTGCCTGCGGCGATGTTAAATTTGGTGAATAGGGTATTTACAGGTTTAAATGAGAGCTCGGACCGGATAATTAATTTGGCCGACTTAAAACAGCTCGAGAAAAAAACCCAGATACTCCCTGCCCATACTCAAGCCATGAAGATAATAAATTACACTTAAAAATGTCCCTACCGACCGTTAAAGTAGATGATAAAGACAACATGAAATCGCAGTATTCAGAAATGATCTTTCAAACCGTGTAACTCTCTATTTCATCGTTTTTTCAGCAATTTAGGCGGGTGACGAGGGGACGCCCCCTTTCAACTCTGAAAGCTAAACTTTTCCAAAGCGTCCTCATTCTTTTGCTGCTATTTCACGACATTTTTTTTGTTTGACCAATTTTGTCACTAATTTTGAAAGGCAAGCGCCCGCTAAAAACTCGATTTAATTGGTGAAAAATTTCCAGAAACTGCTCTAAAACGTCAGTTATAGAAAATTTTAGGGATGGGGCGCAGAAGTTTTCACAAAGTAGGGTCCTTCTAGTGCTTTGAGAGAGCCTGGAAAATCATTTTGGTCGACCTAAAAAAAAGACGACAAAGTTAAAAAAAGTTTTCAGAAAACACCCTTCCCCTTGAAATAAATTCACGTGCTCGCCACTACTGCAATTGAAATTATCGCAATATTTTTTGCCGCCGATAAAAAATGATCATACTTGTAAATGAAAGGTAATTGAGCCTTTGGTTATATTAACCTTTCTTTTTGCCCATAACTTCGGGTACTTTAATTTCTACTTCTGGTGCTTTTTCCACCACTGGGTACAGATGCTCCTTCATCATCTTCTCTGTCTCTTCTTGACTAACTCCCTCTAAGCCTAGCATGGTGTTGAGTGAAGCCCTGCGCTCGTTCTGTTTCTTCTTCTGCTCTCTTTTGCTCCTCCTCTCTCGCTCCAGTTCTTCAGAGTTGACAGATGAGGAAAGTGCGGATGAGAACGACGAGGCGTACCAGGATGCGTTTTCCTTCATACAAAAACGTAGATTGAAGTCATTTTGTAAATAAATTTACGAATATATTTGCCATTATATATTTCTAATACGTATTTTACATTTGTAAACGTTTTCACGTAGATTTTGTGAATACATTTATGAATCGCCATAAAAATTTTGTAAGAAAGTTTAAAAATTTTTTGAGTTCCCTCTTATGTTTTGAGTTCCCTCTTATGAGTATAACTTTTATGGCATCAGAACTTAGATCTCTGGTTTTCCATCGAATTGTTTTGAGTCGAAAAAAAATTTAATGTGTTGTTAACGAATATTTTTTTAGCTCCAAGAACACCTCTTTCAACTACTTGAGACTAATTTCAACTATTACTCTCAAGTAGCTGATAGAAAATTACAAAAACCAAGAAGTCAATTTTCGTTCATTTCATCAATTGAAACCTCAAATTGTTACATCTTTTTCCTAGTGTCTGAAAAAACTAAAACTTGAAAGTATGAATTATCAACCCCTTATCAAAAGTTCAAAACGAAGTAAAAATGTTAACTTAACTTACTTTACTCGCAAAGCTTGTGAAAAACTTTATTTCAAATCACCATTCATGTTTTATAAATCCATGACCTCAGCTACCTTGATACTTTTGTGGGTCATCGTACCTTAAGCTGTTTCATTCGGTACTCGTGACTGAGCCAGTCGTTCGGAGTAGTGATTCGGTGGTTGCGCGGCTGCTTGGCTGCCTCTGCTGCCAGAGTGGTGTGGTAGTGATAGTGAAATAATTGGGCCATATTTTTTGGCTCCTTTTTTTCCGTCATTTCGCTTTGGGGTTTTACTTGGGTCGTCATTGCGTAAGTGTGTTATGTAAATTGGACTCTGGTATATAAACGGAGTCACTTAATCAAGATAATTGGGGGTAGAGTAACAGAAACAGCAGCCTACTTTAAGTTCTAGTAGTAGAAGCAAAAATTTCTGTTTGTCAGAATTTGGTTTTTTAGTTAAGACAGCAAAAACCGTGTTTGACAACTGGACGTTCCCACAAGGCTTTGCCTAGGAACAAGGTAAGTCAAAAAACCTCGCGGAGTCAAACACTTCTTTACTTAATAGTATCTCAAGACAGAATTTTAACAGAGCAATCAAATCAGTATTTAGGCAAATTAAGTAGACTATCTATAATAAAAGTCGCTCTGATATGTTCAAAAGGTACATTAGCTTTTAACAATAAAAATTAATAATGCTCGTTTTTTCGAGCGTATCGCAGCGAATGTGATCAATGTTTTTTGATTAGAAGATTTATTACATTACGTGAAGACTTATTTATCACCGCTGGATACAACAAACTCATAATTAACAGCAGGCTCAGAAAGTATAATTGATTTTGACAAACGTACATAAACAACAAATTAACTGAACGAAAAAAAATGTTCATGCCCAATTCAATGCCAGATTTTGTGTCACTTTTATTTATGGTTTGAACATGCTACAGATAAATTTTGATATGCAAATTGTGACCGATGTTTCTTTGACAACAATTAAATTCTTAGTAGCCGTTTTTTTTCAGAAACTGAATTATATTTTCTGAAAAACCCTCAGTACGATGCTACACTAGACAATTGATTCATCATAAAATACCCTATTGATTCATAATAAATTAATCATAAGTTCTGCGGGTGAAAACAAACCCAAATTTCCAGTTTTAGTAAATTAAAACTTTTATCGACCCTTAAGCTCAACGTGCTGTTAATTTATCTCGGATTCAAAATGAGCAACTGAAATCTATAAAAAAGAACCATTTTCTTCCAAAATTCGACCATGGTATGTTAAATCGAAACAATTTTTCAGAGAAGTAACAAAATGCTATGAAAAAATAGTTGAAGTTGAAACGAAAGAGGACATTTCAGTTACGGCGATTTTTATCCTTGTAAGGTTAAGGTGAAAAACTTCAAATAAGTATTGAATCATTCTCATTAGAAAAGTCTTCAAACAGAAAGGCCACGAAGCACTGGGCCGACTATGAAGTAAACAAAAGCAGTTTAAGAAAAAACCAATTTAAAAACATTGTATAAACGGTAACGAAAGAAGCCCTGAGTTTTTTCAACTTTCAAACCGAACTGATTCCTTAAGTGGTAAGTCAGAAAGAGAACGTTTCATCAAGACAAGTAGAAGTGGGATTTAAAAATTACAGCAGCGAGTTTTTTCATGCGGATTACGCGTTACTATGACATAAAAAAGTTAAAAAAAACATAAAACAAAATTGAAAAGTAAATTTAAAACAACAGAAAAGTTGAACGTCCGAAAGTGAGATAACTCAGGTTATTTATTTGATATAACAATTAACGAAATATCAGAAATGACTGAATCGTTAAAACTTGAGCATACATTGGTTTAAAAAAAGCATAAATTGGTTAAAATTTGGTTTAATTCTTAAAAAGCGAACTAAATTTTCCAGACTGCGTTGAAAATGCTCAAATTAAGCCACTCTATAAAGAAAACAAAATACTGAACCATGAAACAACTGGCCAATTTTTCTACGACTAGTTTTTACGTATGGGCTAAAGTAATTGTTTTAGAGAAAATAAAAGTAGTTTTGCTTATAAATTAAAGGGACTTTGAGCAAAATTGATTTAACAAATTAAGTTTTCCAGACTTTTTGTAAAATTGCTAAAATTAGGCCACTCTATAAATAAGTCAGATCACTAAATTATGAGACAACAAACCAATTGCTCTAAAACCAGTTCAAAGAAGTTGTCAGTTTGGGTTTTGATTAAAAAATTGCAATTAAAGCTCTAACAACTATGATAGAAGAGGTTTACTAAAACTGAATTAAAAAGAAAAAATGAAACAGTGCATGGTCATTAATTTAGAAAACGTTTGATACAATTGAAAACACGCTATTCGTAAAAATAAATTATATGGAATTTGCTTATTTGGTTTGGAATTTCTCGAAAAAAAAAACACTGAAATATGTTGCGACAAACATCAAACAACATAAGCAAAAAAATGATGTGTTTTTAGAGTTCCACAGGGACCCATATTAAACTTACCTTTTTTTGATCATGTACGTACATGAGGTTAAACCTAAAAAACAACACAAAAGTAAAATTGTTTGTTTTATGCAGACGACCCTGTCATGAAAACTGCGGTTAAAAATGGAATCAACTTCAAAACATAACATTTACCATTTCACAACCCATTTCAGATCTGAAATTTAGATCAGAAAAAGATTATTCAGATCTGAATAATTTTTTTTCTGATCCAAATTTCAGATCTGTAATGGGTTGTGAAATGTTAAAATAACGCTTGGAGACTTTATCAATGGGTTATTTCAGATCTGAAATTTTATTTTTCTCGGTTAATTCAGATCTAAAAAAAATCTATTTCAGATTTAATTTCAGGTCTGAAATTATATTTTTCTTGGTTAGTTCAGATCTGAAAAATCGATAATTTTAACACAATTTTTGCTATTTCTAATATTTTTGTGTTTGATAGCTTCTGCTAGCTACTAGCAGGTACTCAGCGAAGTCTACAATGAGAAACTGCCAAAGCATATTTCACCAAGCATGAGATAAACAATGGAAACGCATGAAAGTAAAAAAAATTGATAGGTCTTCTAACAGTTCTGAAAGTTTTTTTATCACAATTGATCAAGAAAATTAGTTCGAAAAAAAACTGCAGTTGAAATTATTCGGAACATTTTTTTTACCGCTAGTTAATCTAACTTTCGCAGAAGCATCAAAAAATAAAAATTTGAATGTTTGCTCAAAATACATAAGTTATACTTTAACAAGGGTTTCTCAGATCTAATTTCAGATCTGAATTTTTGTTTTTCATGTTTATTTCTGATCTGAATTTTTTTTCAGATTCAAATTTCAGATGTGAAACTTTCAAATTTTTATTCAGATATTAAATAAAGAATTCAGATCTGAGAATCAACTAATGTAAGAAATAAAGAATTACAGACCTTGCACAAAATTTTGCCCTCACTAACATTTCCCAAAAAAAACAGTTTGGCCTCGCAATGAGTCTCCAGAAAAAAATTGAATATTATCAGGTTAAAAAAGATATATTCAGATTTTGTACCATGAGATGGATGTTGCTCTGAATATCAAATGCTTGTTGAAAATGGTTTTTAACCACTCAATCTCAAGAAAAATACCAATTAGTTTTACTCGACTAGCGACACCCAAAAATTGGCCGTGAAGGGTAGGTAACCCACCAAATGCCAATTGTTTTCAAACTCCTGGAATCTGCGGCGCTGAAAAATTCGAAAGAATTGTATCCAGTTTTTCTGATAACTATTTCAACTTGAGAGCGATGGGTAACAGATAAAAATTAATAAAAATAGTTGCACTGAATTCAAGTGACCTCCCAGGTCGAAATTTGCTATTTATTTTTTGACCAGTTTGACCAAAATACGGTATGTTTCGACTGTCTCGATCCAGGCTCGATATGCTTCTACCGACTCCACCCAACTTGTCTATGTTTCGATTATGTTCAACCGAGGAAGATTACTCCGACCAAATTCAACCGAGGAGAAACTTTTCGGCCAAGTTCGACCGACAACAACATTTCAACTGATTAAAATAATTCAACTGCGCTGGACCGTGAGAAAACGCTTCAACTGAAAAAAACTGACTGTGTGCGACCGTCAAATAGGTTTTGTACGCTAAAAAGAATCACGGTAACTAATTTGATACAAGTATAATTGAATGTGAGTATGTATGTATGTTCTTATGTATGTATATATGTTTGCATGTATGTGTGTTCGTATGTATATATGTATGTATGTATGTATGTATGTATGTATGTATGTATGTATGTATGTATGTATGTATGTATGTATGTATGTATGTATGTATGTATGTATGTATGTATGTATGTATGTATGTATGTATGTATGTATGTATGTATGTATGTATGTATGTATGTATGTATGTATGTATGTATGTATGTATGTATGTATGTATGTATGTATGTATGTATGTATGTATGTATGTATGTATGTATGTATGTATGTATGTATGTATGTATGTAAGTATGTATGTATGTATGTATGTATGTATGTATGTATGTATGTATGTGTGTGTGTATGTATGTATGTACAGTGCTGATTTAAATTATCCGGACGAAACGAACAAAACTTGAATTTTCAAATGCGTTTTTCTCAAATTGGGTTAAGATTAGACAAAAACTGAAGAGGACAAAAGTTGCTTAGAATTTCACCAGAATTAATATGATGCCATTTTTTCTCCGAAATTCTCAACAAAAAATTTACCCCCAAAAATGGGTCATTTTGGCTTTTTTCAATTAATCAAGAATTACGCTGAAACTACTTTGTGAATTGATAAAAAATTTATATCACAGGAAGCCTCTTACGCAGCTCAACAAAGTTTAAGAAGGGTTAAATTTTCAAAATTTGCGCAAATTGTTTAAAATTTATTTTTAAACAGAAATTCTGGGTTTTATATAGTAAAAATCACATTTATTTACTATCAAGTAATAATTTTTTTCTCTTATACTGGTTTTTGGAGATTTAACCCTTCTTAACCTTTGTTGAGCTGCGTAAGAGGCTTCCTGTGATATAATTTTCTCATCAATTAACAAAGTAGTTTTCGCGTAATTCTTGATTAATTGAAAAAAGCCAAAATGACCCATTTTTGGGGTAAAAATTTGGTTGAGAATTTGGGAGAAAAAAATGGCATCATATTAATTCCGGTGAAATTCTAAGCAACTTTTGTTCTCTTCACTTTTTGTCTAATCCTAACCCAATTTGAGAAAAACGCGTTTGAAAATTCAAGTTTGGTTCGTTTTGTCCGGATAATTTAAATCAGCACTGTATATATGTATGCATGTATGTATGTATGTATGTATGTATGTGTGTATGTATGCATGTAAGTATGTATGTATGCATGAATGCATGTATGTATGTATGTATGTATGTATGTATGTATGTATGTATGTATGTATGTATGTATGTATGTATGTATGTATGTATGTAGGTATGTATGTATGTATGTATGTATGTATGTATGTATGTATGTATGTATGTATGTATGTATGTATGTATGTATGTGTGTATGTATGTATGTATGTATGTATGTATGTATGTATGTAAGTGTGTATTTATTTGTGTATGAATCTAAGTTTGTATGTATGTATGTATGTATGTATGTATGTATGTATGTATGTATGTATGTATGTATGTATGTATGTATGCATGTACGTATGTATGTATGAATGTATGTATGTATGTATGTATGTAT